CTCGCGTTATCGCTTTCTCGTCTCGTGCTATCGCTTTCTCGTCTCGTGTTATCGCTTTCTCGACTCGTGGGATCGCCTTCTCGTCTCGTGATATCGCTTTCTCGCTTTCTCGCCTCCGAATTCGGAGGCTGATGAAAGCGATGACTAATCAGCCACCATACTTAAGTGTAACATAAGAATATTTTTCACTGTCACCGATCCGTCTCTGGCCAAAAGAAGGTTTTTGTATCGATTATTCAAATTGGCAATCGTCTTTTGAGACTGGCGGTGGAATTTCTCATTTCAGCCTGGACTTTTGTTGACCATGTCTTAAGCCAGATCTTGGGAGATATTTTATGTTTCAAATGGCAATTCATCATTACATCCTAGCCTATATTGTGACCAATCTTACAGGTTGATTGTTTATTACTAACATATATAGAAGATACAGACGAGATCACTGTAACACAGTCGGTTAACTCACACACTCACTCATTCACTCACTCACAGAGGTCCAAGTAAGGAAGCTGAACTGTGGTATCTGCGGTACTGATGTTCATCTCTGGAAGCATGCAAGTATTGGAGGTCTGCCTGTCACAGAGCCATCCGTTATGGGCCACGAGTCCAGCTCCGTGGTCACCAAGGTGGGCGAGGGGGTCACTCATCTCAAAGTGGGTAAGATACTGCCTTGGCCTTGTCTCTGGATTCTAACTGGAATAACCTTTCTAATATTCAGTCAAACTCAGTGTTTAAGTTGATTGAAGCTACGGAAATTCTTCGAGTTGATATCCCATTTTCGACACACCCGAAAAAGAATGAATAAATTCGGAATAAGCAGTGAGCAAGCTTTTCCTTCAATACGTTCGACACATCAAAGACCTCGAGTGAATATTATCATGTTGGTGTTGATCGATTACTGTCTTTGAAAAAAACACCCATGTATTTATTCCCCTTTTTGAGAGAGAGTGGTTGTATACCACTTATACCAATACGACACCGGAAGTGGACTTCACACATTGTACCCATGTAGGGAGTCGAATTTGGGTATTCGGCATGAATACTGAACACTTTCACCACAAGACTACCCTACCATCGGGGGAAAGAGAACACTGGTTGATATGCAGAGGGGTAGTTTATGGTGACATATTTCGGTCATTCGTTACCTTAGGTCTTCAAGCCTTTGGGTATAGCTCGATGGTGATCTTTAAATCGCAGCATACTTTGAGCTGCCAGTGTCTGGTGGAGGTAACAGCATGAGCCACCAGGATTGTGAAGCAAGAGTCAGAAGACAGAAGACATTGTGCCCCGACTATCTGCGAATATCTAACTCACATTTTATGATTTCAATATTCGTGAACGTGGAAGTCAAATGAAAAGATATTAATACGGCTGTTGTTATTGTTTTGGTATTTCTGGTCTGCCGCTCCTCACTTGCCTTCCAGGTTAAATAAATGGGGCGGTAGGGTAGCCTAGTGGTTAAAGCGTCCGCTCGTCACGCCGAAGACCCGGGTTCGAATCCCCACATTGGTACAATGCCTGAAGCCCATTTCTGGTGTCCTCCGTCGTGATATTGCTGGAATATTCCTAAAAGCTGCGAAAAACCATACTCACTCACTCCAGCTTAATTTAAAAAAAATTCCAAACATTATTGATCCTCACAAAAACATATTGATTAAGGACTAGACCGTCACACAGAAGACCCTTGTTGAGATCCTTACTGTGAGTGAGAGAGAGAGAGAGAGAGAGAGAGAGAGAGAGAGAGAGAGAGAGAGAGAGAGAGAGAGAGAGAGAGAGAGAGAGAGAGAGAGAGAGAGAGAGAGAGAGAGAGAGAGAGAGAGAGAGAGAGAGAGCCGTGCAATGTATGCCAGCTGCGTAGATCTCGATGCTTTGGATGCCAATCACTGGATTTTCTGGTCCACACTCGACCCATCCACTTACTCCTCAACCCACACATTCAACCACATGCGATACATATGGTCTGACCTTAGGCAAGTGTGTTTGTTCAAATTGCCTCTGTTCACCCAGCAGAAAATGGGAGGGATAGAGTCATTAGACTATACCTTCTAGCGCCTAAATGACAGCTTGGGTTATCCGGGGTAATAATGTGCTGTGCTTTTGTTGTTAGCGTTATGATCATACCCAGTGTGGAGTTTGGCCACCCGCGCACTCCCTCCGTCTCTGCCTTGCCCTCACTCAGTCACTCACATCCTCACGACGTGCACGTGTGTGTTCTCCAGGTGACCGTGTGGCGACAGAGCCTGGTGTCCCGTGTTTCCACTGCAAGAAGTGTAAGGCCGGTCGCTACAACCTGTGCCAACTCATGCAAGTGATCATCGTGAAGTACGTCGGCAGTCTCACCCGATACGCCAACCACGCAGCGGACTTCTGCTACAAGTGAGTCCCTCCATATTGTCATGGGTCTAGGCTAACTGCCTCCCGGACAACTGCCCCATGGCTATCTGTCCACCGTCGTTTGTGCCTCCCTGGACAACTGCCCCTTGGATTAATTGTCCCCCGGACAACTGCCCTCCCTCCTCCTCATCATAACAAAAACACACAAACTAAAAGTAGAAGTTTTAAATTTCTTCATATATTTAATATGTATGGCACTATATAATACAACACAACATATCAATCTTCAGATTCACTTAGAATACATTTGTCATTTTAGCCAGTTCTGCTTCTCTCAAGTCAGGTGCATGTGTGTGATCATGCAGACAACAAACTACTTCCCCGTCTTTAACTTTAGCCTTAGCCTTACACTGACTGCGTCTTCTCTTCACATATTCATAAGAGTTGACTCCACCTTGGAACTCTTTCTGGTGAAACATACAAGAATCCCTCTAAAGCTAACTTATCCTTCCCTCTCTGACTTGGAATCCACTCCATGGCGGTGAAATGACTGACAGGACACAGTTTCTTAGACAGATGTTGATATAATGTTATTAAGTTGTTATCTTAATCACAACTCAACATGTTGTTGTGTTAATGGATTTAATTTAAGATAGAGTTTAATATAAACAAGCCTATCAAGATGGGGAAGGGGGAGTCACTTTTAGTTTTGATGGGGGCAGTTGTCCTACGGGGGCAGTTGTCCGGGGGTTGTCAGTGGACGGGGGCAGATAGCCGGGGGCAGTCATCTTGTCGGTGGGCAGTTGTCCGGGGGGCAGTTAGCCTGATACTATCGTCATCTTGTCTAGAATGTGTGTCAAGCCATGTGTCCTTACATGTCGTCATGTTGTCAAGCCTTGTGTCCTTACATGTCGTCATGTTGTCAAGCCTTGTGTCCTTACATGTCGTCATGTTGTCAAGCCTTGTGTCCTTACATGTCGTCATGTTGTCAAGCCTCATGTCCTTACATGTCATGTTGTTAAGCTGTCCTTACATGTCGCCATGTTGTCAAGCCTTGTGTCCTTACATGTCGCCATGTTGTCAAGCCTTGTGCCCTTACATGTCGTCATTTTGTCAAGCCATATGTCCTTACATGTCGCCATGTTGTCAAGCCATGTGTCCTTACATGTCGCCATGTGGTCAAGCCATGTGACTTTATACAAGTATGTCGTCATGTTGTCAAGCCGGAAGGCCGGTGATGCGGCTTCATGACGATGATCTTTGTTTTTGTCGAAGCTAAGATTTGTCTGAAGGTTTACTTAAGTACATCTTTTTGTATCTACAAAAATCTCTGGTCGGTAAGACATAGGTAGGATATGTAAAGACAAAATGGATTTCATTCGCTATACTTCTTTTACATAACATACAAATTCTTTCATTTTTATCAATCCCTAGGCCTATTTTTCTTCCTTCAATGATTAACCCTGACAAATCCAATCTGAATCTAAAAACGAAGTCATGTAACTTCCCAGAGGTTAGCATAAACAGGTATTTTTCGGGTTCAAGAAGACTGTTAAACGATCTGTAAGATTCATATCGTGTAATTTCGTTCTAATTCTAATTCGTATATCTCCCTGAAGAGTAAAGAACTTTCGGCATTCTGTTTCTGAACACCTGTACTACTACTTTGGACATTTTGTGCGTATATATATATATATATATATATATAAATAAATATATATATATATATATATACAGTGACCCAAGCTATGTAATCTTACCCCACAGCTACCCAAAGGAACTTAAATAATATTAAAGCTGAAGTAAAGACAAGTCAACCAGGAGCAAAGTAGAAAGCAAGTTTACTTTATTCTGTACTTCACGGTAAAAGTTGATACATTATTCCATTGCAACATTAAATATATACAAATATGTAAAACACACACACAGACACACACACACATATACATATACATATATATATATATGTACGACACTGCCACAAAAATACCATACCAAGATATGTGTAAGAATTAACATTGACAGCCTTTCCTTGAAAACTTTAATTTTCATGCGCAGATGTTGGTCCACCCCTCCTAAAGAATACAATCTTAGTGTTTACCCCCAAATTTACCGATAGTTGCCATTCATTACTATATTTTTTCATAATATTCAGTTAAATTTGTAGTCCAAGAACAGTCTCATACTTATATAACATCGTCGGCAAAGAGAAGTAAGAGAAGTTCTGCTAAAGTAGGGAACATTTGTACACCATGTTAAAACCAGTACAATCCTCAGCCCATTAGGGCTGTTAACTACAATCTCAGAATTTCAAATTCATAGATGAAAAAGGAAACCAGAATAGGACTAAGCATACCTCCCTGACGCAGCCCATTAGGGCAATCAAAATAGTCTGTGAGATCATATCCACAACGAACACATAATTTAACATTTGCGTACAGAGTATTCAAGATGCAATACATTTTACCCCTCTAGCCATCACTCAGAAGAACTTAATGAACACCCGGTGTTTTGTCATGACTGTATCTGCCATGGCTCGTGGGGATTGCAAAACGCAGTCTTCCAAATGTTTGATCTTGTTTTGAGTAGTACACACAACGTCATACTGAGCATTCGTAGTTCCCATGACGTTATCATAACGTCATTTCGACCTACGTGTTTGGGAAAATATGTATTGGTGCAATAATTTCCGCTTTCTTCACAGACTGCCTGACAACATCAGCGACGAGGAGGGTGCGGTAATTGAGCCCCTGGCTTGTGCGGTGTATGCTTGTAAGAGAGCCGACATTGGGGTGGGGGACACCGTGCTGGTATGTGGGTCAGGTATGTTGTCCCTGGTGACAGAGAGGATTCCTATGGGGGACACCGTGCTGATATGTGGGTCAGATATGTTGTCCCTGGTGACAGAGAGGATCCATATGGGGGACACTGTGCTGATATGTGGGTCAAGTATGTTGTCCCTGGTGACAGAGAGGATTCATATGGGGGACACCGTGCTGATATGTGGGTCAGGTATGTTGTCCCAGGTGACAGAGAGGATTCATATGGGGGACACCGTGCTGATATGTGGGTCAGGTATGTTGTCCCTGGTAACAGAGAAGATTCATATGGGGGACACGGTGATGATATGTGGGTCAATTATGATTCATATGGGTATTATTTTACTGACCGATTTAGTAATATCTTTAGTTAGCACACATGAGAACGTATACACAGGAACGTACATTTTGAAACTGTTATAATTTCAGGGTCAATGGGACTTCTGTGTATGATGGCAGCGTTGGCCAGTGGTGCCACGACAGTTCTGGTGACAGGTGAGATAGGGACAGATTGTTGTGCACAACACATGCATTCCACTTGTAGGGCCAGAATATAACCTGATTACTTCAGCATGTGACTAAATTGTGACTAAATTAGGGATCGGTTTGGCAGGCGTGGATTTGGCTTATGAACCTCGTGGTACACTGATATCAGAGGCTGGTGCTTGTTGTGACTGGTGTGGTTGTTTTGGACGTCATGCTGCAGCTTGATCTGTTTGTTTATTTCCAGCTATATGATTTGCTGATTGTGCATTAAATCAAATAGCTCGTGCACGCCCAAACGTAGTCTGTCATACCATGAAACAAATACACCCAATACAATAGAAGCGACAAAACCCTTTCCACATCCATAGCCCATGCAAGTGTAGAATATTTGGTAGTCTACATTACTTCAATTTCAGTTTCACAAAATGAAGACAGACTCTTTTTATTATATTTTATGAATATACTGGATGAATCGTTTTTTCTGTAACACATGAGCATTTCAGTTACTTGATGGTAGTCTAGCCTTGCCGTATAGGTCAAAGTCCCGTTCCACAAAGCGACGTCATCGCGTTTAAGATGATCGTAGCTCCCCTACTCAGTCGTAGCGCTCGGATAGAGTTAGGGAACTCGACAGGGTATAAGAGCGTGCATTGTCTCGCCATTTTGGGAGACCTTTCCTCAACTGTGCACAGTCACCAAGAATTACGTCATGATCCACCAAACCACTAACTACAGCATCAAGAGATGTTCTGTTTGTCTTATCGGTTTGCATCTAGATTTTGGAGTAGTGTGGCAGTCTTCCTAGCCTAGTCCAGTGTACTCAGGGTCCACCACGTCCTGGATACTTCAACAATGATGCTACCTCTGACACTTGAGGAAAAGGCCCACCCATCCTTTCCCCCGAATCCCAGAGTACTTTTCACAAAAGGTACCACAGGAAACATTCTGAAGTTTCCCTCGCTTATCAGGGGAGACAACTCCTTCGGATAGCTGTTGGGAAGACCACTTGGAAGAAAGACAAAATGGATTTTATTATTTATTTATTTATTCATTTAAACGTGTTTATCAGAAACAAGTTTCACGGGAAAAGGCAATCAAGTGTTAGACGTAGTATTCATATAGTTATTTACATTGCTGATACTATCTCAGCCTAATCTTAGGAATATTGTCATATAATATGATTCTATTTTAACACGGCTGCTTAGGTAGATCCGATGAAAAGCTAAAGATTGCGAGGAAGGCAGGAGCTTGCAAAACTTTGAACATCAGCGGTAAATCCCCCAAGGACGCTGCTGCGGCTATTGAAGATGTTCTGGGAGGACCAGCTGATGCCACTTTGGAATGCACTGGGGTACCTTCCTGCATCAGCACAGCCATCTATGTGAGTGATATCTCAACACTCTTACGTTTTCTTGCTGGAGATTAAGGCGACTCAATCAAGGGCTGGATGAAAAGATCGATAATCGGAAATATCGTCGATGGGAACAATTATTCATAATTATCTATATGAAAATTGTTTCACTATTGTGATGAATGAAGTTTAATTTACTGACACAAAACACAAAGCTGCGTCTTTTTAACGGGCGGCTGCTCAATTATGTTCAAGGTGCTGTTTTGGTAAGAATCCATGCATGTCGCACTAACTCGTGATGTGAAATATGACGATTTCTTTTACTTTTGTGGGCATTCCTGCTCCAATTTACTTCTCGGATATTCATCGATAATCGATCGATATGTGATAAACGATTATCGATCTCTATGATCAGTATCGATAGTGTTGGTATTATGCAGAGTTGCGTCCAGTAGGCGTGTCCCGAAAAAGGGAATCCTTCGCAATTTGGATCCTTGGCAAGTCCCAAACAACTGACAGATCATGCAGCACCAGCATGCACAACGATTGTCTAAATCTTCATATCAGAATGATAACAATATTTATGATTTCATTTATTTGTGCCTGATGTGTAGTGCTATCTCAGGCAAGTAACTTGAATATAGTGCATTTCGAGTTTTTCGTCACATCGGCATTATTCCAGCCATATAGTGACGAGATCAAGTCTGAATTCATACACATTTTAAGTACAAAGTATAAATGAGATAAGTTTTATTTTGAAAACATATTTATTCAATACATTATTTAGCGCATTACTAACATGCCGAGTAGTAGTAGTAGTAGTAGTAGTAGTAGTAGTAGTAGTGGTAGTAGTGGTTGTAGTGGTTGTGGTTGTGGTTGTGGTTGTGGTGTGGTTAGTGTTATGCTGCTTTCATCAATTACTCCAATAATACCACGGCGGCGGGCACCAGATATGGGCTTCATACATTGTACCCATGTTGGGAATAAAAACCTAGGTCTTCGGCGTGACAAGCGAACGCTTGATATTAATAGCAGCAGCAGCAGCAACAGTAGCAGCAGTAGTGGCAGTATTAGTAGTGATAGTAGTAATAGTTTGCTGTTTTGGTGATGGTGGTCGTTGTTGTAAAAGTAATAACGCATTAAGTACAGCTTAATGTCTCCATGTTTACGAAGGCGACGACACGCGGTGGCAACGTCACCATGGTGGGGATTGGTGATCTTGTTCAGGAGGTGCCTCTGGGAGCAGCTGCGATGAAGGAAGTGGACATTAGAGGAATCCTGAGATACTGCCATGATGAGTAAGGCCGATTCATCAATATACAGGTGCTCTGGGGATGGTTCTGGTTACCATACAATAACTGTGGTCATGACGTGGGCTCATTACTTAATGATCTGGTAGGACCTTCTTTAATTTGTTTTTGAAAACTGCTTCAAGATATTCGTCTTTGCGTCTTTGCTCTCTGTAGTCTGTACATTACAGAACCTGTGGACGATATTGTGATCACCTTCCAATGTTCTGTGGTGTATGAATCACGATGTCGATGTGATGAAAGAAAAGGGATTGACCCTACACATGGAAACGTGATCATAATGGATGAACATATCCATGTAAATGTAACCAACGAATATTCACAGAATCTGCACGTATGCAGCTATCAACTGTTTCTATGTTCCCTTTTAAAAACGTGATCAAAGAATTGTGTATAAAGCTACACATGTACACGTGATTGACGAAGATGTCCATGTAAATGTTACCAACGAATATTAACTAAATAAATGTTCCTATGTACCCTTTCTTTCATGCTTCAGTTTCACTACTGCGGTGTCTCTGGTTGCCAGCGGGAAGGTGAACGTGAAACCTGTAATCACCCATCGATTCCCACTGGAGAAAACTCTTGAAGCCCTGCAGACAACGGCGAGCGGGGTAGCCGTCAAGGTGATGGTCCGCTGTGCCGAGAACTGAAGCGGACATCTGAGACAATGTCCTACTTCTACATACCCTGGAATTCCAGCGCTGCTAAATTTGAATAAGACGGTCACTATGTTTTTTTAATTCTGTACTCTGTGGTAGGGTTGATGAAAAGGTTTCCCCATGGCAGCGTTTCACCACATTTTATCTATGAGTTGCTGACTTTAAGCTTATTAATAATCCATGACAAGGTATGGGTGCTTTGGAAGTCAGTGATATGACAAATACATCCGGGTCGCAATGCATGCTGGTATATACAAAACTGGTTATAACGCGATCATGTACACCAACATAGGAACTATATCCCTGCTGCACTTAACTACGGAAGCATCCTATAGTTCAGTACCCCTGCGTTTCACTATTACAGCATTTCACCTCTTTATATCCAAGGCATCAGCCACTGTTGCTTCTTAAATAGTAATATCCATTGTGCTTACGTTCAAACATCTGAACGTTGTTAAAAGAGCTTCACCCGTGGGAGATAGGTGTCCAATCAGAGAATAGGGTAGTCGCCAGGACGACAGTAGCCAATAGCAAGCAGCTTAGCCAAGAGTCTAGAGTGTGAGTGAGTGAGTTATGGCCATTACTGACTTGTCACGTCTCCGGCGCACCCTGAGTGCGTGAGTGAATTATGGTGCTAACGATGTTTTATCTGTCTAATCGCCATAAACTAAAGGGGAGGCAGTCTCCGTCACATTTCCAGAAAAACGAATCACGGTATGAACTAATAGCATTTTGTACACATGGGATCGTCCCCAATAATCAATTTGTGCTAACGGGGAACGGTGAGGTAGCCTAGAGGTTAAAGCATTGGCTCGTCACGCCGAAGACCCGGGTTCGAGTCCCCACATGGGTACAATGTGTGAAGCCCATTTCTGATGTCCCCCGCCGTGATATTGCTGGAATATTGCTAAAAGCGACGTAAAACCACACTCTCTCACTCACTCACTCACTCACGGGCCCTCCCTATAGGTGGGTCACCTTACTTTGAATACATGCTATAGAAGCAGTTCATAGTAGAGACTATGTTGTTGCTTTTAATGTGTTCAAGTCTCTAAGATCATCGTTGAAATTCCTCTTTAAAGTGAAGAGACAACATTATGAACTCAAGCAACACAATTCTTTTGAAGCCAGGAAGCATTCTAGAATGTTCTGGCATGTGTTCGAAGTTGGTAGCCTGTGTTTGGACTCCGTCAAGGCTGTATTCTAAGACCCAATTATTCATTTAATAAGGGTTTTTTTTCAGTTCTGGAAAGTTTTGGAGGAAAAGGTGTTAATATTAATGTTAATGTTGATAATCTTTGTGCATTAATGTTTGCTGATGTGTCAGAAGTTATAACTAACAGGTGTGATACAGCTGCTTAAGGGATGAAAGGCCTGGGCCTCCTTTCACAAAGCACTAAGGTGATCGTAAGTCACTAAAGTAACCTTAGTGCAATGTTAAAGGATGGGAGTCTTGCTTCGTGAAAGGAGCCCCAGGTGTATATCGTGAATGTGCTTCACCTGTTTTTAACATTTTTCTCAATTTGATTTGTTTTCATTAAAAATGTTTTGACCATCTTTCTGCACGGTTAAGCTTACCTCTAGAGACAGGGCAGAGGAGACGCGCCATATCATGCCATATTTGAAATTCTCTTGGATTTGAATCACAAATGACAAAATGTGTGTTTCTGCCAAAAAGGTGTTTTATTTCCAGTATGTAGATACATGAACTTGGCGAGTAACTGATAGCCGCCAGACAGCCGCCGCACATGTTGGCTCATTTAACCTACAAGAAAGGATACAAACAAAAGATACAGTGAATAATATGTCGATTTGAACACCAGACCAACCGCATGAATGCGTTATCTTCCTACAGATTAAGGTTTGTAAGCAAATTATACTCTTAATTTTACTCCCATTAGTTGATAGATACAACATTAAAACGTATTGATAGGTTTAGTAATTTGGTTTGTACAGGTAGACTCGGGGCACATCCATGTGTTTTTGGGCTGGTATTTGTTGTTTTAAGAACAGTCTATTTTTCCATCTGCATGCAACAGTTTATTTAAGAATGAATGTGAGGGGTGTGTGAAAAGAGGAGGAGAAAGTTAATGCAGGAAGGAGTGAGAGGCGCAGAGAGAGGATCACGAAGGGATCAGGAGGGTGTGTGTATGACGGGATGACCGAACCAGAGTGTGTGGGAGAAAGGAGTGAGACGGGGGCACAGAGAGAGGAGAATGCAAAGAGTCGGGGGTATGTATGAGGGAGGATAAAGGAAACAGGGTGTCAAGAGAAAGAGAGGGTGTGAGGTGAAGGACAGAGAGGAATGAAGAGTCAGAGATTGGTGTGTGAGGGAGGACCGAAACAAGTGTGTGAGGAGAGAAAAGAGTAGGAGATTGAAGGCACAGAGGGAGAATGCGAGGTCAGAGTGTGTGCTTGAGGGTGGGATAACGACAATAGTGTGTGTGAGAGAAAGAAGGAGTGAGGTGAAGGGGCAGAGAGGAGAATGCAGGGAGCTCAGGAGGTGTGTGTGAGGAGGATGAAACAAAGGGTCGCCGAGAAAGAGAGTGAGGTGAAGGGTAGAGAGAATGCACGAGGAGTCAGGGAGTGTGGTATGAGGAGGATCGAAACAGAATGAATTACCAGAAAAATCAGGAATGGGGGAGTGTGTGAATCGAGGTCAGAACAGGTTTGTAAAGAAGAGTGATAGTGAAGGAACAGAGAGAGAATGCAAGGGAGTCAGAGAATGTGTATGAGGAGGATAGAAACAAGTGTCAGAGAAAAGAGAATGAGAATGGGACAAGAGAGAATTCACGATCCTGGCCTGAAGGTGTGTCTGTAGGAAAACTGGGGATAAACTTGAGAGATTGAGAGAGAGTGTATGTGTGTGTACAGAGGAACTGAGATGGATAAGAAGAGAGAGGAGAGAGAGTGAGGTGAAGGGCAGCAGAGCAAGGAGTCAGGACATGAGAGGGAGGGAAAACAGAGAGAGAGAAAGGAGAGTGAGAAGTGAAGGAGCAGAGAGAATGCGAGAATCAGGAGAGGAGTGTATGAGGAGGATAAAGAAACAGAGTGTGTGAGAGAGAAAGGTGAGTGAAGGAGCAGAGAAACGCAGAGAATTAGAGGGGTGTATGAGGGAGGATAAAGGAAACAGAGAGTGTAAGAAAGAGAAAAGAGAGGAAGAGTGAGGAAAGGAGAGAATGCGGGAGTCAGAGGGGGTGGTAAGGGAGGATAGAACAGAGGGGTGTGAGAGAGAAGAAAAGGAGGTGAGAGAAGAAGGCACAGAGAGAAGGAGTCAGAGGAATTGTATGAGGGGAGGATAAAACAAGAGCGTGAGGGAGAAAAAAGAGGAGTGGGAGTGAGAAGGAAGAGAGAGAGGAATGAGAGTCAGAGAGTGTATGAGGGAGGATGAAACAGAGAGTGTGAGAGAAAAAGAGTGAGAAAGAGGGAAGAGAGATGCAGAGGGGTGAGAGGAATGTATGAGGGAGGATAAAGGAAAGAGGTGTGAAGAGAAAGAGGGGTGAGGGATGAAAGGCAGAGAGGAGAGAATGAGAAGGAGAGATGAGGAGAATGGGGAGGATGAAGAGGTGTGGAGAGAGGAAGAGAATGGAAAGGGCAGGAGAGGAAGTCAGAGAGTGGAGGAAAAACAAGAGAGAGGAAGTGAGGAGGAAGAGAGGAGGAATGGAGAGGTCAGGAGAGTGTGTGGGGAGGAAGGAAGAAACAGAGGAGAGAAAAGAGGAAGGAAAGGAGGCAGAGGAAGATGAGTGGAGGTGGAAGTGTGTAACAGGAGAATGGAATGGGAGGTGTGTGAGAGGAAAGAGTGAAGGACAGAGAGAGAATGGAGGGTCAGAGGGTGTGTATGAGGGAGGATAGAAACAGAGTGTGGAGGTGGAAGAAAAGAGTGAGGAGAAGGAGACAGAGAGAGAAATAAGGGGAATCAGAGGTAATGTGGGAGGATAAAACAAGAGTGTGTGAGAGAAAAGAGTGAGGAATTTGGGACAGAGAAGTGCAGAGTCAGAGGGAGTGTGTTATAAGGGGGTTAGAGCAAATTAATGGCTGAGAGAAGAAATGAGTGAGGTGAAGGAGCAGAGAGAGAATAAAAGAGTCAGAGAGTGTGTGGGAGATGCAAAGCAGAGAGTGAGAAAAGAGTGAGGTGAAGGAACTAGAGAGAGAATACTGAGAGTCAGAGAGTGTGTATGAGGGAGGATACAAAGAGGCAGAGTGTGAGAGAGAAGAGTGAGGTGAGAATGGAGAGATGCGAAAGGTCAGAGGTGTATAGGGATAGAAACAGAGGTATGAGAGAAAGAGTAGAGGTGAAGGGTGAGAGAGAGAATGAGGAGTCAGAGGTGTGTATGAGGAGGATGAAACAGGTGTGTGAGAGAAAAAGAGTGAGAGAAGGCACAGAGAGAATGGAAGGAAATGCAGTGTGAATGGAGGGAAGAAGTAGGAAGGTGTAATGAGAATGAATTTGGAGGAGAAGGAGTGAAAAGGGCAGAGGAGGAAGGAGAGAGAGAATTCTTGAAGGAGGATAATGAATGGAATTAAATGGAATGGAGTGAAGGAAGAATGAGAGAAGAATGGAATGAGTCAGAGAGAGAATGTGGGAGGTCAGGAAACAGAGTGATGAGGAGAGAATGGAGTGGGGTGAAGGGCAGAGATACGAGAGTCAGAGAGTATGTGGGGGGGAGGATGGGAAACAAGAGTGTGTGAGAGAGAGAAAGATTAAGGGTGGAAGGGCAGAGGTAGGAGTCAGGAGGAGTGTGTATATGAGGGGAGGATAGAAACAGAGTGTGAGAGAGAGAAGAAGAGAATGGGGTGAAGAGGGAAAGAGTGGAGAATGCAAAGGGCTCAGAGAGTGGCCATGGAGGAAATGAGAGGAACAGAGGGGTGTGAGAGAGAGAAAGATGGATGGAGGTGAAGGGCAAGAGAGAATGCAGGGGAGTCAGACAGTGAGAGTGGCCTGGAGGGAAGGAAGGAATGGATGGTGTGTGAGAGAGAGCATGAATATGGAGAATGAAGGAACACTGGAGAGAATGGGGAATGGAAGGTGTGTAATGGAGAATCAGGAAACAGAGTATGTAGGCAGAGAAAAGGAGTGAGATTGAAGGACAGAGAATGCAGTGAGTCAGAGGAGGGGTGTGTATGAGGGAGGGATAGAAACAAAGGTGTGTGAGGAGAGAAAGAGTGGGTGAGAAAGGACAGAGAGGGCAGGGAGTCAGAGGTGTGTGGGGAGGATGAAACAGAGTGTGTGAGAGACAAGAGTGAGGTGAAGACAGAGAATGCAGTCAGAGGGGGTGTGTATGGGGGAGGATGGAGAGAGTGTGTGAGGAGAGAGAGGGTGAGGGCAGAGGGCAGAGGAGAATGCGAGGGAGTCAGAGAGAGTGTGTATGAAGGGAGGATAGAAACAGAGGTGTGAGAGAGAGAGAAAAGAGGTGGGGCCGAGAGAGAATCTGGGGAGTCAGAGAGTGCCATGTAGGAGGAGGGATAGAAAGCAGAGGTGGTGTGAGAGAAAGAGTGAGAGAGAAGGCTGCAGAGAGGAGAATGCGAGAGTCAGAGAGAGAAATTGAGGGAGGGATGAAACAGAGTGTGAAATGAGAGAGAAGGGGAGTGAGGTGGGAGGGCAGAGAGAGAATGCGAGAGAACCAGAGGGTGTGCATGAGGGAGGATAAGAAACAAGAGGTGTGAGAGAGAGAAAAGAGTGAGGAGTGAAGAGGCAGAGAGAATGCGAGGAGTCAGAGAGGGAGTGTGTATGAGGAGGATAGAAACAAAGGCTGTGTTGAGAGAGAAAAGAGTGAGAGAGTGAAGGCACAGAGAGAGAATGCGAGGTCAGAGAAGGTGTATGAGGGGGAGGATAGAGGGAAACAGAGTGTGTGAGAGAGAAAGAGTGAGGTGAAGGACAGAGAGAGATCTGCGAGGAGTCAGAGGAGTGTGTATGAGGGAGGATAGAAACAGAGTGTGTGAGAGAGAGGTGAGATGAAGGGTGAGAGAGAGAGAATGCAGAGTCAGAGAGTGTGTATGAGGGAGGATAGAAACAGAGTGTGTGAGAGAGAGAAAAAGTGGAGTGAAGGGTAGAGAGAGAGAATGCGAGAGTCAGAGAGTGTGTATGAGGGAGGATAGGAAACAGAGAGTGTGAGAGAGAAAAGAGTGAGAGTGAAGGGCAGAGAGAGAGAATGCGAGAGTCAGAGAGTGTGTATGAGGGAGGATAGAAACAGAGAGTGTGTGAGAGAGAAAGAGTGAGAGTGAGGTGAAGGGACAGAGAGAGAATGCGAGAGTCAGAGAGTGTGTATGAGGGAGGATAGAAACAGAGTGTGTGAGAGAGAAAGAGTGAGGTGAAGGGCAGAGAGAGAATGCGAGAGTCAGAGAGTGTGTATGAGGGAGGATAGAAACAGAGATGTGTGAGAGAGAAAGAGTGAGATGAAGGGCAGAGAGAGAATGCGAGAGTCAGAGAGTGTGTATGAGGGAGGATAGAAACAGAGTGTGTGAGAGAGAAAGAGTGAGAGAGAAGGCACAGAGAGAGAATGCGAGAGTCAGAGAGTGTGTATGAGGGAGGATAGAAACAGAGAGTGTGAGAGAGAAAGAGTGAGGTGAAGGGCAGAGAGAGAATGCGAGAGTCAGAGAGTGTGTATGAGGGAGGATAGAAACAGAGTGTGTGAGAGAGAAAGAGTGAGGTGAAGGGCAGAGAGAGAATGCGAGAGTCAGAGAGTGTGTCTGCGAATGTATGAGAGAGGATAGAAAGAGAGTGTGTGCGAGAGAGTGAGAGAGAACGGCAGAGAGAGGGAGTGCGAGAGGGCGTGTGTGTGAGAGAGCATGTGACAGAGAAGAGAGTGAGAAAGAGAGGGAACGAAGAGCGGAATACTGGGTCATAAGAAGGTCATTTGGAAAGCTTCCTAACCGGTTGGACTCACCTCGCCCACGTCGGCGTTTAGAGCTACATAGGCACATATAGGGAATGCCATAAAAGACAGGGTGTTGTTGATACTGAGCATGGCGCTGTTAAAGAGGAAGACGACTCTGGTTTCGGTCGACTGGTCCGAGCACATGGAGTAGGTGAGCGCACCGCCATCGACGTCGAGGGCCCCGATGTAGTCGTTCTCCTTTACATAGATCTCATTGAGTCCACTCAGTTGCACAATGTTCAACCGCTCTGCATCACATTGTGCTTCTGTTACACCGACAACAAAGGCTCTGAAAGATGAAGCCGGAATGAAAGTTAAGTTCATAACACTATAAGTTGTATGCTTCTCTCGAGGGTAATAGGGTCTGATGTACGCCTCTATGTAGCAGTGTCACCCGAGCAGGTAGGCGATGGATGATGTTTGTTTGTTTTGTTACTAAATAAAAGAGATAAGGAAAAACAAACAAAATAAAAGCAATGCAGATTACAAAATCACTGGCATAGCTCAGGACACCATACCAGTCTCGCACACGGAAAACCTATCATTTGAGATTTCGGAAAACATAAACGCAAGTAGTCATGTACTGAAATTGCAATTCATCTCTTCAATTAATGTTAACATTCTGCCTGAAACACTGTATTCAACGGAATACATATGACAAGTCTTGTGGCATTAATTGTCAAATCTTAAAACGATATCATGATTTCATTTTTCGATGACATGTACAGTAAACTGTCGGAAAAGAAAGTACATACTTGAAAATTGGATTTGACGCCAAAATATAAAGAAAATGTTATAAGGCCGAAAGCATTAATCACTCGCATAAAGCAACATACGTAAAGTCCAAGACGTACCATATACCAACTATCAGGGCAAATTTGGGATCCGAACCCAGGATCCCAGTGACCGACTCCACGAATAGGACACTCCACGAATAGGACACCCTACTGATTATGCTTTTACGCCGCATTAAGCAATATTAAAGCAATATCGCGCCGGAAGCACCTGGATTGGACATCCCGCAATAAACCAAAAATCAATCCTGGGTCTTCGACGTAAAGAGCGAACGCTTTAACCACTGGACTATCCCACCGCCCCGCAGGGCAGTGGTCACCCACGTAGCTACTCCTCAGCTTCAAGGTAATCTAGGTGATCAAGAGCATTGAAAAACGAAAAATCTTCACTGTGATATTACCCTCCCGATACATCTCTGAATACTCCGAGTTTGACAAGGCCGGACTTGACGCAGTAGAAGTACCAGGTCTTCAGGGCACCGGCCCTGGTGATGTTGGTGTACTGGTTGCCAGCAATGAACGCCCAGGCTGGCATGAAGGTCATCTGCATCTGCTTCACTTCAAGGTCACTTACCGGAGTAGTCGCTTTGTTATCACCTGTCAAAACCGTTAACAGATGTTTAAGCCGAAAATGGACGGATATTGTATCAATGTTCAGAAAAGATATTAAATATCATTTTTAAAATAATGTTTACGGTGTGTGGGGAGACAGGAACGTGGCACTACCTCACGAATGCGCTAAACATGTAGTGAGTTGGTGTGTAGGGTTTAACGCCGTCTTGGTACAGTCTTCCACTTACACCCAGTGTGCTAAATAGTTTCCGAATTTTCCTAGCCAGTCGGGCTAGCTATGCCTGAAAGTTACTAACCCACAAAATAATTCACTAGCCCAAAATTTGAATGTAGAAACTAAGCAAAATATTACAAAAAGTATATTACCATTGTTTATCAGGCCATAATCTTGCATGATTTAAAAGTGCATTATAACTTAAAAAGTCGGAGAGCGTGATATATTTAAAAGTAGACCCTATGAAAATTCAGTAGCCAGTCGGGCCAGTGACTGTGGAGATTTACTGGCCCGACTGGATTTTTGCTAGCCACGGGCTAGCGGGCCTGTGGCTATTTCGCATACTGCTTACAGCACGGTGTGTCAGCTTTATGTGGGAGGAAAACCAGATGAGAATCATGTCTTAAGCTTTCACCACTTTGTATAAAATACGGTATTGTCGTGACAGAGAGTTTAGGCATGGTAGTATATACAACAAACATGCCATACACCATTGTTACTATGTGGCTGAAATATGGAGGATGGCATTGGAACGTCACGGTAGGTTCTCATCATAATTCATTTGTTTTAAATTACTTGCACACTATTTATCGGACTTCCCCGCGTGATATGGCGCATACCCGGTTATCCGGGAAGGGGTTCATTGGTTCGAGTTGTTTGTCGCTATGGTAAGACAAACCGTTGTCCAGTTGTTTGTTGCTATGGTAAGACAAACCGTTGTCTAGTTGTTTGTTGTATTGATGAGACAAACCGTTGCCTAGTTGTTTGTTGTTTTGGTGAGACAAACAGTTGCAGTTGTTTGTTGTTTTGGTGAGACAAACAGTTGTGTAGATGTTTGTTGTTTTGGTGAGACAAACAGTTGTCTAGTTGTTTGTTGTTTTGGTGAGACAAACCGTTGTCCAGTTGTTTGTTGTTTTGGTGAGACAAACCGTTGTCTAGTTGTTTGTTGTTTTGGTGAGACAAACAGTTCTAGTTGTTTGTTGTTTTGGTGAGACAAACAGTTGTCCAGTTGTTTGTTGTTTTGGTGAGACAAACCGTTGTCCAGTAGTTTGTTGTTTTGGTGAGACAAATAGTTGTCTAGTTGTTTGTTGTTTTGGTGAGACTAACAGTTGTCTAGTTGTTTGTTGTATTGATGAGACAAACCGTTGCCTAGTTGTTTGTTGTTTTGGTGAGACAACCCGTTGTCTAGTTGTTTGTTGTTTTGGTGAGACAAACCGTTGTGTAGTTGTTTGTTGTTTTGGTGAGACAAACAGTTGCAGTTGTTTGTTGTTTTGGTGAGACAAACAGTTGTGTAGTTGTTTGTTGTTTTGGTGAGACAAACAGTTGTCTAGTTGTTTGTTGTTTTGGTGAGACAAACCGTTGTCCAGTTGTTTGTTGTTTTGGTGAGACAAACCGTTGTCCAGTTGTTTGTTGTTTTGGTGAGACAAACAGTTCTAGTTGTTTGTTGTTTTGGTGAGACAAACCGTTGTCCAGTTGTTTGTTGTTTTGGTGAGACAAACCGTTGTCCAGTTGTTTGTTGTTTTGGTGAGACAAATAGTTGTCCAGTTGTTTGTTGTTTTGGTGAGACAAACAGTTCTAGTTGTTTGTTGTTTTGGTGAGACAAACAGTTGTCTAGTTGTTTGTTGTTTTGGTGAGAATAACAGTTGTCCAGCTGTTTGTTGTTTTGGTGAGACTAATAGTTGCCCAGTTGTTTGTTGTTTTGGTGAGACAAACCGTTGTCCAGTTGTTTGTTGTTTTGGTGATACAAATAGTTGTCCAGTTGTTTGTTGTTTTGGTGAGACTAACAGTTGTCTAGTTGTTTGTTGTTTTGGTGAGACAAATCGTTGTCCAGTTGTTTGTTGCTATGGTAAGACAAACCGTTGTCTAGTTGTTTGTTGTATTGATGAGACAAACCGTTGCCTAGTTGTTTGTTGTTTTGGTGAGACTAACAGTTGTCTAGTTGTTTGTTGTTTTGGTGAGACAAACAGTTCTAGTTGTTTGTTGTATTGATGAGACAAACCGTTGCCTAGTTGTTTGTTGTTTTGGTGAGACAACCCGTTGTCTAGTTGTTTGTTGTTTTGGTGAGACAAACAGTTGTCCAGTTGTTTGTTGTTTTGGTGAGACAAACCGTTGTGTAGTTGTTTGTTGTTTTGGTGAGACAAACAGTTGCAGTTGTTTGTTGTTTTGGTGAGACAAACAGTTGTGTAGTTGTTTGTTGTTTTGGTGAGACAAACAGTTGTCTAGTTGTTTGTTGTTTTGGTGAGACAAACCGTTGTCCAGTTGTTTGTTGTTTTGGTGAGACAAACCGTTGTCTAGTTGTTTGTTGTTTTGGTGAGACAAACAGTTCTAGTTGTTTGTTGTTTTGGTGAGACAAACAGTTGTCCAGTTGTTTGTTGTTTTGGTGAGACAAACCGTTGTCCAGTTGTTTGTTGTTTTGGTGAGACAAATAGTTGTCCAGTTGTTTGTTGTTTTGGTGAGACTAACAGTTGTCTAGTTGTTTGTTGTATTGATGAGACAAACCGTTGCCTAGTTGTTTGTTGTTTTGGTGAGACAACCCGTTGTCTAGTTGTTTGTTGTTTTGGTGAGACAAACCGTTGTGTAGTTGTTTGTTGTTTTGGTGAGACAAACAGTTGTCAGTTGTTTGTTGTTTTGGTGAGACAAACAGTTGTGTAGTTGTTTGTTGTTTTGGTGAGACAAACAGTTGTCTAGTTGTTTGTTGTTTTGGTGAGACAAACCGTTGTCCAGTTGTTTGTTGTTTTGGTGAGACAAACCGTTGTCCAGTTGTTTGTTGTTTTGGTGAGACAAACTGTTCTAGTTGTTTGTTGTTTTGGTGAGACAAACCGTTGTCCAGTTGTTTGTTGTTTTGGTGAGACAAACCGTTGTCCAGTTGTTTGTTGTTTTGGTGAGACAAACCGTTGTCCAGTTGTTTGTTGTTTTGGTGAGACAAACAGTTCTAGTTGTTTGTTGTTTTGGTGAGACAAACAGTTGTCCAGTTGTTTGTTGTTTTGGTGAGACTAACAGTTGTCCAGCTGTTTGTTGTTTTGGTGAGACTAATAGTTGTCCAGTTGTTTGTTGTTTTGGTGAGACAAACCGTTGTCCAGTTGTTTGTTGTTTTGGTGATACAAATAGTTGTCCAGTTGTTTGTTGTTTTGGTGAGACAAACAGTTGTCTAGTTGTTTGTTGTTTTGGTGAGACAAATCGTTGTCCAGTTGTTTGTTGTTTTGGTGAGACAAACAGTTGTTAAGTTGTTTGTTGTTTTGGTGAGACAAACAGTTCTAGTTGTTTGTTGTTTTGGTGAGACAAACAGTTGTTAAGTTGTTTGTTGTTTTGGTGAGACAAACCGTTGTCTAGTTGTTTGTTGTTTTGGTAAGACAAACAGTTCTAGTTGTTTGTTGTTTTGGTGAGACAAACAGTTCTAGTTGTTTGTTGTTTTGGTGAGACAAACCGTTGTCCAGTTGTTTGTTGTTTTGGTGAGACAAACCGTTGTCCAGTTGTTTGTTGTTTTGGTGAGACAAACCGTTGTCTAGTTGTTTGTTGTTTTGGTGAGACAAACAGTTCTAGTTGTTTGTTGTTTTGGTGAGACAAACAGTTGTATAGTTGTTTGTTGTTTTGGTGAGACAAACCGTTGTCTAGTTGTTTGTTGTTTTGGTGAGACAAACAGTTGTCCAGTTGTTTGTTGTTTTGGTGAGACAAACAGTTGTCCAGTTGTTTGTTGTTTTTGTGAGACAAACAGTTGTGTATTTGTTTGTTGATTTGGTGAGACAAACAGTTGTGTAGTTGTTTGTTGTTTTGGTGAGACAAACCGTTGTCCAGTTGTTTGTTGTTTTGGTGAGACAAACAGTTCTAGTTGTTTGTTGTTTTGGTTAGACAAATAGTTGTCCAGTTGTTTGTTGTTTTGGTGAGACAAACCGTTGTCCAGTTGTTTGTTGTTTTGGTGAGACAAACAGTTGTCCAGTTGTTTGTTGTTTTGGTGAGACAAACCGTTGTCCAGTTGTTTGTTGTTTTGGTGAGACAAACAGTTCTAGTTGTTTGTTGTTTTGGTGAGACAAACCGTTGTCCAGTTGTTTGTTGTTTTGGTGAGACTAACAGTTGTCCAGTTGTTTATTGTTTTGGGGAGACAAACAGTTGTCTAGTTGTTTGTTGTTTTGGTGAGACAAACCATTGTCCAGTTGTTTGTTGTTTTGGTGAGACAAATCGTTGTCCAGTTGTTTGTTGTTTTGGTGAGACAAACAGTTCTAGATGTTTGTTGTTTTGGTGAGACAAACAGTTGTCCAGTTGTTTGTTGTTTTGGTGAGACAAACCGTTGTCCAGTTGTTTGTTGTTTTGGTGAGACAAACCGTTGTCCAGTTGTTTGTTGTTTTGGTGAGACAAACAGTTCTAGTTGTTTGTTGTTTTGGTGAGACAAACAGTTCTAGTTGTTTGTTGTTTTGGTGAGACAAACCGTTGTCTAGTTGTTTGTTGTTTTGGTGAGACAAACAGTTGTCCAGTTGTTTGTTGTTTTGGTGAGACAAACCGTTATCCAGTTGTTTCTTGTTTTGGTGAGACTAACAGTTCTAGTTGTTTGTTGTTTTGGTGAGACAAACAGTTCTAGTTGTTTGTTGTTTTGGTGAGACAAACAGTTGTCCAGTTGTTTGTTGTTTTGGTGAGACAAACAGTTCTAGTTGCTTGTTGTTTTGGTGAGACAAACAGTTGTCCAGTTGTTTGTTGTTTTGGTGAGACAAACAGTTCTAGTTGTTTGTTGTTTTGGTGAGACAAACAGTTGTCCAGTTGTTTGTTGTTTTGGTGAGACAAACCGTTGTCCAGTTGTTTGTTGTTTTGGTGAGACAAACAG